TTCAAGTTTTTTTTTTTGTTTTTTGTTTTGTTTTTTCTAATATAGAGTTTTTTGACCAAACACAAATAGTAGATCAATCTTTTTTTTTTAACAAAAAAAAAACTCTGTTGTACAAAACTTAGAGAAACTTAGAGAAATTCTGAATGGGAGAAAATAAGCACTGTATTTTATACTATGGCTTTATTTTTATCCAAAATACAGACCACATTTTGCTATAAGTTTATTAAAGAACACGAAAAAGGGTAAAGAGAGCAGATATCAAGATTGCAATGTGGGATTGTTTCCAGTGTAAATGTATTTTCATTTTGGGAATTTAACTCTACAATTTGATCCAAAAATCCACCCGATTTTCCAAACACAATTTACTACATAATAATTATCATATTTCTGAAATAATTTATTCATTTTTTTTTCGACAATACGGACCCGTTTTATACCCGGTTTCAGGTGTCTTGTTATTTTCTAACCTTTTAGAATTTTTACTACAATATTCAGTATGGATTAGCGACTATGTGTTGGATTTTATTCTCACTTTTTCTTAAAATGAATAACGCTTATAATTTACATACATAAACGTCAGACTTTATTTGTTAACTTATTTTATTTTTTTAGAAAAAAAAAAAAAGAAAACGCAATTGCATCAGGCTAAGTCATCATTGGACTTTCTACTATCAAATGTCGCATCTCCGCTTGTGTGCCTTCAAAAATATGTTGTTTAATCATTGTCAGGAAATATCCAGGATCAATATTATATTAAAATATAATTTTGATATTCATCGATTCTATGGACGATGAGACGCAGTTTGCTGGGTTTTTTTTTTGGGGGGGGTCGTTTTATTCCAAAATGTTTATTCAAAACAATATACTGCGTCCAGTGCTCTACTGTTATAAAAATTAAGCCGATCACTGAAAAATTAAGTTGTTCAGTGATGGCATAGATTACTAAACTTGATAAACGATCGACACTTTCATGAAATCCATCGACATCAGGCATGTACCCAAAATATCAATAATTATTTTTTTATTGTTTAGAGATAGAAAATCCTTTGGCTTTTACTTTCAGTATTGTTTCTGAATAAGATTTATTTTAGATTAAAGTTTTGTTATTCCCTTTTCAATTTCTATTTCTCTTCCGATATTAGACGGGTTTGTTATAGTAGTAGTAGTAGTAGTAGTAATTCCATAATAATAAATACATTAAAAATAAATTAATATGCTTTTATTGAAATGGTTGACATTATGATTGTGAAAGATGAGTTTGATGAGCAGAAACAAAGGTATTGATATTTGGTGTATTTTAGTCGTAAAACACCATATTTATGTATTCCCCATTTTTTGTTTCACTATAGAAATACGTTGCAAATTGTTCCACTGTAGTGATGTTTTACAAATTGTTTCACTGTAGAGATGATTGACAAATTGTTTCACTGTAGAGATGTTTGACAAATTGTTTCACTCTAGAGATGTTTTACACATTGTTTCACTGTAGAGGTTCTTTGCAATTTGTACCACTGTAAAGATGTTTTACACATTGTTTCAATGTAGAGTTTCTTTGCAATTTGTACCACTGTAAAGATGTTTTACACATTGTTTCAATGTAGAGTTTCTTTGCAATTTGTACCGCTGTAAGGATGTTTTACAAATTGTTTCACTGTAGGGTTTCTTTGCAATTTGTACCACTGTAAGGATGTTTTACAAATTTTTTCACTGTAGAGATGTTTTACAAATAGTTCCACTGAAAAGATGAGTTTCAAGTTATTTTTAACACCGTGCATATAACCGAGTATATAACAAGTAATATTTCCGAAACAATTATCTCGAATTTTTTAGTCAAGTGATTGCAGTGACACAGCAGATGTTGATGAAAAATAAAACAATTATCGCGATTCCATCTTAATGCTGATTGCATGTGAACAAAGGTAGGCAAATTTTCGGCTTTTCTTAAAACTGCCCACTGACTTTACCTGAACTCCGCTACACCCTCGATTAGCTTTGCCCATTTATTTTTTCACTAACAGAGTGTTTCTAATAGTAAAAAAAAATAGATTATCAATTTTTGCCGTTTTTAACCATAAAACTTATTTTAATGAATTTCAGCACTAAACCAATAAATGCCTTGAAAATCAGAAAGGTATTGTCTATGGTCAGGAATTGATTCAAGTACTATCAACAGAACAGAGATATAATAATATATGAGAGTGTGTTTGTGTACTATAAATGTAAAGTATGTCAACAGTAAATTAATATATATATACATATATATATATATATATATATATATATATATATATATATATATATATATATATATATATACACGTATTATCAGTTTGTGACTTGATAGGGATAATTCGAGGAGGATATAAATCCAGGAGAGCTCAATGTAGACTAAGGAGCATTATAATGATAAAAGACGAAGACTTTAATTATCCATTTCGATTAGAATTTATTTCGTGAACACCGAGATGTTCAACTGAGATTTCGATCTGAAGAGTTGATCACTTCGATGTTCACGAAATAAATTGTAATCGAAATGAATAATAAAGTTTCCGTCTTTTTTATTATACATACTATATATATATATATATATATATATATATATATATATATATATATATATAATTTTTTTTCTCGGAATAACTTATATGCATAACAATAGAAAATTCTCCGTCCGCCCTCTTTCTAAAATCTGACCAACCGTTTGAATATTGAAAAAGGGGTGACAATCCTTCTTTGGCTGGGAGCATCTCTTCGTATATGTTCGTGTGTGCAACAAGTGTGATTACTTACACATAGATATGTTAGCGCTTGAAATGCTCTTCTTTATGTCTTTGACGGGATGAATGTCATTCAAACCGCCTAAAGGCTTCATTAAACGATCTTTTTTGCGTGCATCAACCGGTAATGATACTTTCTCTACTGAAACAAGATCTTGTACGAGAAATCGAGACAGTGTTGAATGTGTATGTGTGTGTGCGCGCGCCATTAAATGATTATTGCGTTTAACAGAAAAAGAAAAAAAAACAAACAAATCTAATATTGAGGTCGTGAAATTCCGTCTACGTCCGTATAAATCTAGTCCATGATAAATTGTTTGTATGTGTGCTTAGGATTTAAGTTCGTTTAATATCCACTAAAGGCGAAGTTTCAGCTTTCTTCTGTTTTTTTTTTTTTTCTAGCTTTTCTTTTTTTTCTCTTTTGTCTCTTTTTCTCCTTTTTTCTTTTCTCTTTTCTATCTTCTTTTCTCTTTTTCCTCTTTCTTCTCTTCTTTTTTTTTTCTTTTGTCTCTTTTTCTCCTTTTTTCTTTTCTCTTTTCTATCTTCTTTTCTCTTTTTCCTTTTTCTTCTCTTCTTTTTTTTCTCTTTTTGTCTCTTTTCTCCTTTTTTTTTTCTCTTTTCTATCTTCTTTTCTCTTTTTCCTCTTTCTTCTCTTCTTCTTTTTTTTCTCTTTTGTCTCTTTTTCTCCTTTTTTCTTTTCTCTTTTCTATCTTCTTTTCTCTTTTTCCTCTTTCTTCTCTTCTTCTTTTTTTTCTCTTTTGTCTCTTTTTCTCCTTTTTTCTTTTCTCTTTTCTATCTTCTTTTCTCTTTTTCCTCTTTCTTCTCTTCTTTTTTTTTTTCTTTTGTCTCTTTTTCTCCTTTTTTCTTTTCTCTTTTCTATCTTCTTTTCTTTTTTCCTCTTTCTTCTCTTCTTTTTTTTTTTTTTGTCTCTTTTTCTCCTTTTTTCTTTTCTTTTTCTTCTTTTCTCTTTTTTCCTCTTTCTTCTCTTCTTCTTTTTTTTCTTTTGTCTCTTTTTCTCCTTTTTTTTTTCTTTTTTCTTCTTTTCTCTTTTTCCTCTTTCTTCTCTTCTTTTTTTTTTTTTTCTTTTTTCTTTTTTCTCCTTTTTTTTTTCTCTTTTCTATCTTCTTTTCTCTTTTTCTCTTTTCTTCTCTTCTTCCTTTTTTCTCTTTGTCTATTTTCTCCTTTTTCTTTTCTCTTTTCTATCTTCTTTTCTCTTTTTCCTCTTTCTTCTCTTCTTCTTTTTTTTCTCTTTTGTCTATTTTTCTCCTTTTTTCTTTTCTCTTTTCTATCTTCTTTTCTCTTTTTCCTCTTTCTTCTCTTCTTTTTTTTTTCTTTTGTCTCTTTTTCTCCTTTTTTCTTTTCTCTTTTCTATCTTCTTTTCTCTTTTTCCTCTTTCTTCTCTTCTTTTTTTTTCTCTTTTATCTCTTTTTTCTCCTTTTTTCTTTCTCTTTTCTATCTTCTTTTCTCTTTTTCTTTTCTTCTCTTCTTCCTTTTTTTTTTATCTCTTTTTCTCCTTTTTTTTTTCTCTTTTCTATCTTCTTTTCTCTTTTTCCTCTTTCTTCTCTTCTTCTTTTTTTTTCTTTTTGTCTCTTTTTCTCCTTTTTTCTTTTCTCTTTTCTATCTTCTTTTCTCTTTTTCCTCTTTCTTCTCTTCTTCTTTTTTTTCTCTTTTGTCTCTTTTCTCCTTTTTTTTCTTTTCTCTTTTCTATCTTCTTTTCTCTTTTCCTCTTTCTTCTCTTCTTTTTTTTTCTTTTGTCTCTTTTTCTCCTTTTTCTTTTCTCTTTTCTATCTTCTTTCTCTTTTCCTCTTTCTTCTCTTCTTTTTTTTCTCTTTTGTCTCTTTTCTCCTTTTTCTTTTCTCTTTTCTATCTTCTTTCTCTTTTCCTCTTTCTTATCTTCTTCTTTTTTTTTTTTGTCTCTTTTTCTCCTTTTTCTTTTCTCTTTTCTATCTTCTTTCTCTTTTCCTCTTTTCTTCTCTTCTTCTTTTTTTTCTTTTTTTCTCCTTTTTTCTTTTCTCTTTTCTATCTTCTTTTCTCTTTTTCCTCTTTCTTCTCTTCTTCCTTTTTTTTCTCTTTTTCCTCGTTCTTCTTTTGTCTCTTTCTTCTTTTGTTTTTTTTTTCCTCTTTCTTCTCTTATCTTTTTCCGCTTTCTTTTCTTTTTCCGCTTTCTTTTTCTTTTTATTTTTTCTCTTCTCTCTTTTCTTTCCCTTTTCCTCCTTCTGTTAACCTATCTTATCTATTCTTTTCGGATGGTCCAAGCTATAATAAGAAATCTTTTAAAAACAAATATCCAATAAAAAAGAAAAGTTTCACACAAAATATCCTCAAATAACAATAAACATTTCTTTATTGAGTATGACAAATTATGATCGACTATTAGTTTTGAAGTTGGAGTGTTAAAAAAAAAAATCCCCGTCAGAGGATTGAAGTTTTCTATTGTTGGTAGTTGCATTTTCCAATGCCGCCTTGTTTCTCGAACTCGCCAGACACTTTTTTTCCCTTTACCATTTTTATTTTGCCATAAATTTGCCATCTTTATTCACTTTTGCTAATTGTTTTACGAAGATTCGTTTGTTTATTTTTCTAATTAAAAATCTGCTAATCACCTATAAACTAATTATAAAACAGACATAAACATTTAGTAGTAAGTAAAGTGGTGTGTATGCATGAAAGAGAGAGAAGGAATTGATAAAAATTCTCACTGGCTGATCTCTAAATACAACACTTGTCTCTTCGACAATTAACCAGACTGACAGTACTCGTGAAAATTTCACGATTTTCCTGTTTTTAATTTAATGATGCGTTCCATGCTTCTTTTACGACTTCCAAATTACCTTGGAAAATCCACTATTGCATCGTTAAATATTTGGGCTTGAAAAATTTAACAAAATATTGCAATAACAATCATAATCATAACGCAGGTTATTATTTAAAGAAAAGGATAGCAATGAAAAAAAGATTAAAAATTTACATGGTTTTACATTTCACTGAAGCAGACGTTAAACACCTGATAATGTTATCCCTCCCTTTTCTTCGCTTGTTATTTTTTTAAAATGTTGTTCGTTTTCTCCCTTCTCGTAATTTGTATACTTTCCTTTTTCTCGCTAAAACCGAACAGCGTTTCTGATATACTTTTTTTTATTCTTTCATCACAATCAAGATGAAATGGCTCACTATTTATGAGATAATGGCATGTACGAAGTGAGGAAAACGCAGGATTTTAAAATGGTGCCTTTTTCTAACGTTATATAAACACGGAGACTTCTTTCCGCTTTTTGTATGTATGGGGGAGATTTATAAATTATGAGCCAGGGTTGACCAAACTTGCTTAATGTAAGAGCTACATACGATAAAGTTCAAATGTTTAAGAGCCGCAAGACATGAACAAATTTTACACATACATTTTTGTTAAATAAGCATTAATATTAAACTTACTCTTTTAATCCAATGGGATCTAAATTCATATCCAGTAAATAATTCTAAAGCTGGAAATTTTTCTTATTTTTCTTTTAAATTTACTGTGATAAAAAAAGGTGGAGTTCAGCCAACATATGTTCACGAGCCGCATATTAAATGTCAAAGAGCCGCATGTGACTCGCCAGCCGCGGTTTAACAGATGTTCACTTTCGCACTAATGACCTTGGGAAAGGCATAACTCCATCTCTTCTTTTTTACAACTATAGGCATTTCTGTATTTTCAGATAATAAAGAAACGGGATCTGTGGTGAGACAGGGTCGCCTACGTCCTGGAGAGACATAGCATCAGGCCTCACACAGTCTGACATCGACTTGGTGGGGTGGGGGTTTCAAGCCTGATTAGAAACCACGAGTAGTGCTTTGTGACTCACACTATCTTATCAACGTTTGCTTTTTACCACCTATATTTATACAGGTTACAAATTAAAATAAACGTAACTATTAAAGAATGAAAAATGTTCAGAGTCTGACGTCATTCTGGGATTTTTTTTTTTGTCCAAATCCGTGAATTTGTTTTGCTCATGACCATTGTCTCGAAAAAAAAAAAAAAAAAAAGACACTAATGATTTTCCAAGCGTGGCACAAGGCCGAAAGTAAGAGGCGCCCAGTGAGGATCGAAGTCACTATTCAGTCGTAATTGTTCTAGCGAGACAAGTTTGCTAACCATTACATCGGCTCGACATACCAAAAAGCAAAACAAAAAAAAGAACACTATATAATATTCACTATTTTTTCATGCATAATGTTGAATGACTTAAAATCTTTAAATTTTTTAACAACATAGATCATTCCATCTTAAATAAATCAATTATCACATGTCTCTAATTTGTATTTATATACATTGTATTTATTTTCAATTTTTCTGGTTGAATTGTTCACCTATATTGCATATGATCTATTATCTTGCTTATTATAAAACGCATATTGTGTGTGCGTGTGTGTGTGTCTGTACGTTTATATATTGGATCGGATTTCCTACATTTTTCAACCGATTTCAACAAAACTTCACAGGACTGCGGAAAATTACCTTGCGGTGGTTCTGACAGCGCCAAAAATTGGGAAAATACAATTGTTTTTGCACGAAAATTTGAAAACACGATTCTGTCGCCAGAATGAAAGGGGAACAACTCATATCGAGTTATACTTATAAAAACCCAGGTTGTTTGTGTGTGGGTGTGTGTTCGTTTATATATGGATCGGATTTCCTACATTTTTCAACCGATTTCAACAAAACTTCAATTTTTTTGGCAGGTGTTTTCTTATTGTCTTGCACACTTTTTTTTTTATTTTTTACATTTAGAATGCTTTAAAATTCCATTTACAAGACAATTGTTTATAATAAAATTCTATTCAATCGATAGACTCATAACGATTGAAAACAATGTCTTTGTTTGAGTTTGGGTTTGACCAATTCGTAAAAAAAAAAATAACAAAACAAAAAAAAAACTAATTAAGACATGCGTGTCCGTCAACCTTAAACAATAATCTTTGTCAATTTTATTTTTCAGTCTTTATGATGGTCGATACTTGATCTATCTGTTACTGTTACATCCCCGGGCAACGCTGGGCTCTACTGCTAGTTGTACATAATTATGTTACAATAAAATTTGTATTTTATATGAATACTACCTTATGAAAATTGAGATGTAGTAAAGTGGGGTCCCTCTGTATCATAGATTCAAGGGGGAGATTATAAATTGCTGATGATGTGAGAGACCTTTGCCCCGGCCTTTCATAATATAATGAAAATGTTGATATATTTATGTAGGTTTAAACATTTGTATGACTACTATATTCTACGCATGCACAACGCAATGAAATCAGAAAAGGAAACCAACCTTTTAAAGTTAATTTAACATTAGTTGTTATTATTTTTAAAAAAGATCTGACGATGAAATCGATAATCAATGGCTTATGAAACAAGGTCACTGTCCATTACGTTACAACGCTCAGATATCAAAGTGAATTTGGCTAAACGATTGACAAACATATTTAACAGCTATTTAACCTTATTCCCTAGATCACTTGGTGACTTGTCTTGAGTCTCTTCTCAAATCGTCACACGATATTACAATAAGATCTCGCTCCTCCTGATGCGACCGGAAGTATCATACACTAACATGTTTCCTGTGTAATAATCCTTTAATGCAAACTAATTTCAGAATTATATGCAATAACAAAGACTTCCATTTGTTTCCTTCGAGAAATAATGTCAGATGCAAAACTGATTATCAAACGACACCATTTTTTCTCATAAAATCGAGTTCCCTTCTCGAAATTACTGTTAAGATCTTTCAATAACTGAAGACTATGTTTGGATATACAGACTGTGTGTATGTTAACCCCTGTAGAATATAAGGCCATATCTTCACCACGCTAGGTACTATTGTTGTGGTTTCTGTAGAAAATAGGCTTTTTTTTTTTTTTTTTGTACTTTACTCTGACTATTCGTCTACTGACGGATATTACAGGGTGCTTTTTATACCTCCTAGATCTTAAGGGGAGGTAACTGATGATTTATCATTACACTCTACTCTTATTATAATTAATAGTCTTTTCTAACGGCTGAATTGTCAATTGACTATTTTTAGGATAAAGTTGTGTGTGCAAATCTCACAAGAAGTTAGCTTACTATTCATTTGTTTATATTCAAGTTATATAACCAAAGCTGCTAGATAGACCAGCGCTAATAAGTTTTAGATTTCCCAACTTTGGAGGCAACTTTTAAAATAATATGGGGAAACTTGGGCTGTTAATAAGAAGAAAATAAATTCAAAATTGAGAAAAGCTGCGCTTTCGAAAATCGCTCAGTTCGCTTACTTCCGGCCTAAGCCCATCGCCAGGATGTTTTGAGGGGTGGATTTTTAAACGGGTGCAATGAATGAGAACTTGCATATAAAAATTAAAATTAATTCATATACTTTTGACGGGGTCGGGGGTGTGTTTAAATGATATTTGGGAGGGAACAATCTTGAATAGGTAATTTTTTTATCCGCGCGCCAAATTGAACGGAATCTGACACGGTCGGTTTTAAAATGGGAGCACACGCGGAAATGGACTAGGAACGGAAATTGCTCAAGACCTTTCGGCACTTGCCCTTTTGGTGGAAACTTTAGTTGGCAGGTAATAACTCTGTCACCTCTCCCTCGGGAAGGGGACTAATCTTGAATATAACTCTAGTTTGTTGAACATAGTTCTCGATTTATTTCCTGGTTCACAGGGCGACCTCTTCACTTACACAGATTAACTGCGTCCCTGATTTGGTACCACTGTTTTTAATTTTAATCTTATATATTTGGTTGGATTGATGTGAGTTTGTGACCCTGGGTTTCACGCTTTCTGCGATCGTCAGACAACTGCATATAGTGTGAAACCCAGGATCACAAACTCACATCAATCCAACTATATATGTTAGCTCTATCACTGATATTGAGCGCTTTCCAATAACTACCGCGCATATATAATAAATATTATATATATAAAAATTGCATATATATATAGAGATAGATAGATAGATAGATAGATAGGTGAAGAGAGGGAGATAGACAGATAGATAGATACATAGATAGATAGATAGGTGAAGAGAGGGAGATAGATAGATAGATAGATAGATAGATAGATAGATAGATAGATAGATAGATAGATAGGTGAAGAGAGGGAGATAGATAGATAGATAGATAGATAGATAGATAGATAGATAGATAGGTGAAGAGAGATAGATAGATAGATAGATAGATAGATAGATAGGC